TCATCATATATAGATACTCACTATTATTAGAATTTCAAAAAAACCGTACTCCAGGTATCAACGTGTGCTTTCATCCGAGATAATCATTGTTTGAACAAGGCAAGTGAATGATTCTCTTGTCCCGGAGGCTGTTGAAACCGTTGTCGAAATTCAATTACACAGACTATATTACGATTTTCACCAATTACACAACTAACCCCCAATCTCTTGTGGGAAGCATCGCACTTCAGTTCAATTCTATGATGATGATATTTGGTTTAGGAAAAGTTGCTTGCACTCTCATATGGAAAATCTTGTAAAGTACTTATTAGCTTCTGCTCCAATTTTATGTTATTATTTGGCCAATATATAAGACTTGCGACCCGCCCTGGTTCCACACGGGTGCAATGCTGATACTAAATATAAATTCAACCCCTCGGAAATTCAAGAGCATGGAGAAACAGTGATGAAAAAAGAATTTTGTTTTATAGACGTGACGTGTTTACCCGCAGTTGGCACTCGAGTTGGAATATTTAGAAAATATTTCTTATTGCACATTTACAACATAAAACGAACCTACATACAAAAGGTAATTTTCATATGTAAACTCGCCCTTTTTTATACACAGTGGGGGCACCCCAGTTGGAATATTCAAAAATTTTCAGCCTCCGAACGGAGACACGGAGAAACAGTGAAGGAAAGATAATTTTCATAAGTAAACGCGTCCCTTTCACCCCCACGGTGGGCGCTCCAGTTAGGATATCTAACAATTCTTTCTCAGTGCGCATTTAAGACCTAAGAAGCACCTATATACCAAATTTCAGTTTCCTAGGACTTACCGTACGGAGAAACAAAGATTAATGAGTGAGTGTTAAGTAAGTGACTTTCGCATTTATGAGTATAGGTTAGGATTCCAGAACAAATAATTGATCACCACTCCATTACTATTTCAAATATCAGTAGTCCATCCCGAATACAGCTGAATAAGCTGCACTAAAGACAGCAGCATGGTGTGGAACTGTCTATTCTTTTCCTACATACGAAACTATAATCTGGGATGAAAGTACTTATTTGGAACGCAGGTACAGAAACAGTACAGAACAGTACAGAAAAGTCCACGGGTATTAAATTATACCTGGTATAACGAGTATATTGGAATATTAGCTCTTTTAAATTATTTTGAATGGTATGTAAAAGGAGAGAAATATGTCTTGACAAAATCATGTCGCTGGAATAGCAAAAGCTGCTTCTCAAAAGCTTGGAACACTGTTCCGAACCAAAAAACTGTACACACCTCAGCAACTATTTATGCTTTATAAAGCCCAGATCAGACCGTCTTTGAAGTATTGTTCTCATGTATGGAGCTCTGCTTCCAAACATACCCTAAAGTTGCTGGATTCCATCCAGAAAAGAGCCATCCGCCTGATAGAAGACGCGAACATCACGTGCAACCTTGATAGCCTGAAACATCGAAAAAAGGTTGAAGAATTGTCTCTCTGCTATACATACTTCCACGGAAAGTGTTCAAATGACTTATCACACTTGATTCCACCAAGAGCGGTGCATATTAAAAATACGTGACGAAATGTGCCGGCTCATCGTTATGAGGTTCAATTCAGTGCACCTCGAACTTTACTGTTCAAGAACTATTCCATCTGGAGAACTGCGTTTATGTGGGATAAACCTTCTGAGAAAGTTTTTTCAAATGGATTTAATCTCTAGCCATTCAAATCCAATGTGAATCGCTACTTTTGCACGGGCACCGCTCTGAGAGCTTCTCAAGGATTTTCTTGTAGTGCTTATCATTATTTTATGTATATTGAAAATCGTTTGAGGCAAGAAGAAAACCAAGTTTATCATAAATGAAGAGTATGAAGTTATCGTTTTTGCTACGGTTGAGGTTAATGGAAGGCGTCTTCAACAGAGTCAAAAATTGGAGATGAGTAACAAATTAGCAAGAAAGATACTGAAAAAGCACGAAAATCAAGTATTCAAATATCAGTTGCTGATTGCATTGCAGTATTGGCTTCTTAAAAATCATAGAGCTGAACCAAATTTCATAAAATTGTTTTCTTCGACTGATAACATTCAACAAATAATGACACGTTCAATAAGCAAAATGTTCAATACACGAACATACAATGAGAGGCAAACTTTCTTGTCTGATATCGTTGGAAACAGAATAACTGGGCCAATATTGTTTCAAATACCTACATCAGTTTCACGGCGAATTTATTTCCAACAAGATGGAGCACCGAAATTTTATTACGAAATATTTATTTTCTTGTACGTATGTATCACTCCCCGATACAGTCTTCGAACACGTTTTGATATCTGTTAAGCCCATTTCACACAGAACGGACATCTGGCAGAAACGAGGCTTCAGCATGGAACAGACTTGGCGGAAGCGTGGTGTATTTACTGCACATGGAGGGGCGAGACAGTGGCGATAAAGGACGTCAGTAACCTGCTAGGCCTAATCTTGGGCACTTGGGCACTATTACAGTAATAAGCACGATTGAATTCAAATAAATCAGGATATTTGCCAACTTCTTCGCAAAATTGAATGTTGGGATATACATATTGACAAATTTATCAAAAAAATTTCTGCCATTGATGGAGCAGATGTCCAAAATTAAAACCAGAAATATTAAAAAAAATTGGACTCACATTTTCTTAGCTGGATTATTTAATAAATATATGGGGATAATGCTGTAAAAATTCCGTCAACAAAACTTCCATTGTTTATAAGAAAGCATTAAAAGTACTGTATCGTCTTCCATATGACATTCCAACTAACCAACTGTATCCAATAACAAACACATTTTCTTCAGAAGAACATTTCATAATAGACAGACCTAAGATTGCTTATTTGGTGATCAATGAAAAAATTAAATCTTACCTCATATTAATAAAAATTCTGAAATTCATGATCATGATACAAGGCAACATAATCTGTTTCATCTCGATGCTGCAAACTATGAAAATATCGTAAAATTCAAAAAAATTATTGAAAGAATTTATACTTCAGGAAAGGAACTAGAATGAATAAAATATATTGTTTTTGTGAAAAAACTAACTTCATTTTTTTGTTTACTGATTTCTCAGATTGAATGTCCTAAATTCGTATGATAAGATTTGTGATGTTATATAAAAATTATTTATATATGTGTATGTGTATATGTATATATATACATAAGTGGAACCACATATTGGTGTGACACCCAAGTCAACTTGCCAATTTTATTTGTCAGTATTGGTGGTTTGACCAATCAACCGACAACATCAATATGGGAACGATCAGAATAGTACTTATCTATTTATTTTTTAATTTTCATGGAGTTATTTTCCAACAGCTTGACTGCATTAACCTCTCTCGATTTTATATCAATTCTAGAAACATGTGGATTCGTTTTACGATGACATTGCAAGTTAGCTTCCCAAATTTCTGCTACCGCAGTTGTCGGTTGATTGGTCAAACCACCAACACTTTGCGTTTACGCAGTTTTTTTTGTTAAGTACTTTTCTTGGTTATTCACATTTTGTCTTCAATCGAGGACCGCCTGCCCGGTACCTACGATGCCCAATAGGCTGAAACAGCTGTCTACCGGTGGCTCTCAAATTGAACTCAATATGGGAATGATCAGAATAGTACTTATCTATTTATCTTTTGATTTTCATGGAGCTATGTTCCAGCAGCTTGACTGCATTGCATTTTACGCCACGAGAGACTGCAAAGAGACGAGGCGAGGACGTGAAGGCGACCGCCCGCGCCTCGTCACTTCTGTTGGACCATTTGTAGTTGTTTTCTGATAGGTGTCAGTCCATTAACCTACAGTGTAGGTAGTTGAGACTGGCCTGAACAAATTGTTCCTTTAGATGATTTGATTTATAGCCAGTCTTCAAGTATGCCCACTGACTATATTATGTTTTTTTTTTCCTTATACGAGGAATTGAGTAAATTTCGGATATATGGTTGGTTACCTCGTTACACAGGTAGATGGGGAGATGATAAATCTATTGTTTGTTGTCCGCTTCAGCCTAGTTCGAGGAATGATACTCTGAAGGAATTAAATTTTCAATTATCGGAAATCATCGACTTTGTGTTGATGATAGACACTCCCTTGCACTGACGAATGGCCAGACAGCCCAAAAAACTTCTGTAAGTGTATTCCAATAATTGAAAAACTATTGCGGCAGTTGTATCGCCAACAGCATATGCAGGAATAAATTCATTGATGAATCCTGCACAGACACGTCTTGGATATATTTGAACGCCGTTCGTGGTATTAGCCAGGGGAGTAGTTGTTTTCTGATAGGTGTCAGTCCATTAACCTACAGTGTAGGGAGTTGAGACGGGCCTGAAAAAATTGACCCTCTAGATGATTTGACTTCCAAACTCTTTCATAAACACCAAAATCATTTCTGATTGCATTAATCCAGCAATTATCCGATTTCTCAAATCTTCTACTTTTTCCACTAGAGTTGTTGATAGGTACCAACGGAATTGTTAGTTTTTTTATCACTTGGTAGGTCCAGTGTAGTACGTTATACTTTTATTTCGGCTACGTTAATAATTTTAAAATTACCAAAATTATTCTTGTCGAAATTATTATTTGCCCTGTATCTTCGAAACAAAGCGCCCTATCAAAAATTATCAAAGGACAAAATATCTTTAGAATAGTCCCTTAATTTTTTGCCGCAAGTTTAAGAAACACCCTATATACTCAAAATGCTAACTTCACAAACATTCATCTAACTACCCATGAATTTATAAATAATTGTCATTGTTTCCACTGAACACTAGCCGATTATTTAGCTCATATCAGATCATTTTATTGTGTTCATCCCCTACCTTGTATTTTTCTCATTTTGAGAGTTTCAGTTTGTCCAGTTGTCTCCAAATGTATATGTATGTAAATGTATGTATAATGATATTGTCACCATTTCTGACTGCACCTTTGAATAATCAAGTGCCCATGATTATTTTATAATAAATGCAATTTTTTTCGTATTTCCAGGTACGTTTAGAAGACAGAGGTGTCTATGTATGTTTCGCTAATAACTCTGCTGGTGAAGAAAGTGTAAGAGTCACACTGGAAATAACAGCTCCGCTTTCTGCTCATGTTCAGCCTCAAGTTCAAGTTGTGGATGTTGGAAAAGATGCCAATTTTCAATGTATCGTTAATGGGTTTCCTATATCCCAAGTTAACTGGCTTCATAACGGTGAGTGTTTTTTATTTTGATTCAATGAAAATCGATGAAAAATCGAAATGAATGAAGTACATTGTCACTATTTTTCGGGTTTGAAGGCCGTCGATTTCTTGAGTTCGCAAAAAGAATCGACAACCTTCAAACCTGAAAAATAATGAAACTGAAAACATCGGCCGCGAAAGCCTGAACCGTTTTGTGAATGAAGTACGTTGAAATCAATCAATAAAAATTATAGGAACTATAATTTGAGTGTAGCGAAAACCTCTTGAAGCATTGTCAACATTTTATGTCATTCCTATGATTTCGACTACAACCTCAACTACAGCTGAAATATAGGAAATGCTTTTTCAAATTTTGAATACTGAATTACTGCAGTTTCAGAATCAGATATGTCATATGGTTCAGATACGATTAGGTTAGGTTGAATTCGAAAAAATTGGGTTATATTATCCCGTATTTCTGAGGTCAATCGATAATTTTCAACACAAAAGTTTGATAGCTGAATCATTACAAGTTGAAATTGGCTCATCTAATATTTGGTGAATGAATGACATTAATTATAGTATAATAATTTTCAAATGGAAAATGAAATCGTAAATATCTTTCTGATTTCACAAAAAATTGTGATATTGCTATTATCACGTTCCTATGTGAATTTTCAGAAGATGAGATTTGTGATTTCTCATTTTTTCTGCGAAAAATAGACATCACTTGATAAGACTTTCACTTCGAATGGCATTCATATTTTGAATCGGAGATCTTACTATTTACACAATCTTTTATCATGAAAAGAAGCTAACCGTGGATGAATTCCAGGCACACCAATTGTTATGAATGTAATGAAAGCAAGTGATTTGCAGAATTCCATCTCAGCTTTCCATGCTTATAATTGCATAATCCAACCCCATTTTGATTATTGTGCTAGTTTTTTATACTTATTTGACCAAAATGAAGTATCAGCTTTACAAAAGTTACAGAATCGTGGAATGAGGATTATTTTACAAGTGAATAGGTATTCTAGTATATCAAACATGTTAAGTACATTGCAGTGGCTGTCTGTTTCCCAGAGACTGTACGAGTTAGCATCTTATTTTATTTTTCAAAATAACACAAATACCGCTTCAAAATCGCTATTCTCATAAACTGAATTCATCTTTCAAATCTTAGTTTGTTTGAATTCGAAATAGATATTTCTTCGGTTTCAATGTCTTTCCCCATACTTTAGGCTAAGTCAACTGAGAGTATAACAATGTTACACGATCTATTTCAAAAGAAGTTTTTCTCAACGTTGACCTTCACATTTGATCTCGTTATGTATTTTTCATCAAAGTATATTTCAAAACATTTATCATTAACAAAACTTAATCTTCAGGTAAACCGATTGCTCAAGATAACAGAATGGAAGTAATGATAGAACCTCCTCGCCTCACCATCAAATCGTTAACCAAAGAAGATCGCGGAATGTTTCAATGCATCATCAGCAATAACTGGGATCAAGCTCAAGCCATTGCTGAGCTAGATATGGGCGATGCAGGGCCGGAACTCATTTACTGGTTTTCTGAACAAACTCTACAGCCAGGTCCAACGGTATCCCTGAAGTGTGTAGCCACAGGAAACCCTCCACCACAGTTTACTTGGACGCTTGATGGATTTCCAATTCCTGATCATCCCAGGTTTCTTGTGGGTGAGTGGTTTCTACATACCCCGTTCCACACTCTTGTTCAAATTGAATATTATTGTACATTTCCAAGAGAAACTCATTTGTCATTTATTGTCAAAGCCTTCTTGTTGTATAATAATAGTCTTTTTGAAATCAAATTTGTATAGACATCAAACATCGAATTAACAAGCTGCTCCAATGTGAACTATGTGAACTAACAATGAATTATTTCAAGGAACACATTTCACATAGTCTACTTTGTAGACCAGCGTAGTTTAGGGTCGCTTACTATACGTTGAAGAACCACCACAGAATGAATCATAGATCCTTGAAATTGCTTTGATCAGTATATGACAACGATTTTTCAGACGCTTCCTTACGTATCAATCACAAGTTACAACTAGTTAACTAGTAGATATCATAAGGAGTAGTCACTAACATAACAATTCGAAATTAGGATGCAGTAACAAATAAACATAATAATTACCATTGCATATTCAAGTTGCTAGAGGAGTTTGATGTCAGAAAGGAAATACTGTATAACGTTTATAATTAATGATTTGCTTGGTATGTAACCATTATGCCAGTGTTCCATCTTCATCCTCCACGTCTTGTAATGATGGGGAAGTAAGGGTGAGACCCTTTTCTCCTGAGTTTGGAATATCTGGCTTCTCGAAAATTAGCGTCCGAAAGTAGCGTCCCTGTCATCAAACCTTTTCATTTGATACATGAGGGTGATATGAAAATGAAAAATCGTCATTTTGTGGCGTCAACTATATCGGTTCAGAATTTGAGCGTTCCATTTTTCGTAAACTCTCGGAAGGAACAAATTGAATGAAAACATATATACCACCAACAAATCGACAGGTCCCATTGAACAAAATCCAGTAAAATCAATCCATTATTCAAATAAGAGAACTCTTTTCAATAAAACCCAGGCATATATCAACCTTTGTTTCACGATGCATATTACTGAACCCTGTAGTGTTCAATACTACTTCAATACTTTTTCAAATAGCAACCTTCATTTTGACGATGTCATTCAAAATCGCACATTTTATTACACACAACACTCACTTCAAAAGGTATGTCATAACAACACAAGAAAATTTTACAGAAAAATGAATCATATGATGATTCAAAAACATTCATTGAATTGAACGAGATAATTTATCAGTAAACTAAAGTCAATAGAGAGGACTGGAACCTTCCGGTTCTGGTGCAGGTGTTTTCAATCGCAGACCCAGAACAGAGATATCAACCTGCCTATGAACCTATGCGACAGCATTTCAAGCGGAAATTTGCGCTATGGAATTGTGTGCGGAGAGATTGGAAGAATCTAACCTCATGCACAAGTCAATAAAAATTTCTCGGACAGTCAAGCGGCGTTGGAAGCTCTTTGCTCCTTCCGAGCAACGTCTGAATTGGTAGCAGATTGCCAAAAATGAGTTTCCTCGATAGGAAGACTTAACAGATTCTCTCTGGTCTGAATTCTTGGCCATACTGGCCTGGAAGACAATGAGGCTGCTAACTCTCTTACAATAGAGGGGGCTGCAAGCAGTTTCATCTGACCAGAACCTGTCATTGGCATCGCTTTAGGCTTTGCCGAACAAAGATTAAACACCTGGATGGCAAGAAGATTTATGGACTTCTGGCAGAATCTTCCAGGATTGCCTTACTCCAAGGCGTTTATTCACCCTTCTAAGCTTGATACCAAATAGTTGTTGAACTACAGTAGGGATGAACTACGTAGTCTAACAGGCCTTCTAACAGGTCACTGTCATTTGAATCATCATATGCAGAGACTCGGACGATAGTGTGTGTCGCCTCTGTTTGGAAAATGATGAAACAGTAGAGCACATACTTATTGTCCGCCCCGCTGGGGACCTATTCAGGTTTTCGGAGTTCGGTAGTGCCTGACTCTTACCATCTGACCTGAAAGACCACTCACCATACAAACTAATTGGCTTCTTTGAGAAGCTGGGTTCATTTGGTCGAATGTGAATAGGTGTGAGCCACAAAAAACCTTTCTGGGTTGCGGTGGAGGGTCGAATAGACCAACTCACTTTGGATCTAAGATAACCTAAACTGAAGTATATTCTGATCAATATTCAAAACGAACAATAAATTATCATTGTACCTTACTGAAAGTTTTTCAAAAAATATTAGTGCATTCATTCTCAATTCCATAATATACGTCAACAATACAGGGGATCCCACATAAAAATTCGCGGGCAAATATCTGGAAAATGAAAAATTATATCCATGTATAGTGAAAGCAGATGATTTTTATTTCAACAATGCAGCAATGCAGCCCAAGTACATAACATAAGGTTATAAGACTATCATTAACAAAAAAAAATTGTAGTTTAATTATACGAAATCAATTTGGTTGATTTTGGTCACTGTTTCCGGAGTTGAAAAAGTGTCAGGGCGACCTGGGCGCTGGTCATCTTCAGTGCTCTCTCGGCCCTCACTGAAACGCTTACGTCACTCAAAAAAACTCACACGTGATAGAGAATTGTCCCCATAGGCCTCTTGCAACAATTTATAGCACTCAGTCTGAGTTTTTCAATTTAACGAGAAATTTGAGATTGATACGTTGTTGCTGTTTTTCGTCACACGTGGTTTTCGGCACGAGAAAAAACACATTTCAAACCGCTACTGCACAAATACTATGATAGTGACGAAAACGTGTTTTGGTACGTGAATAGAGAAGATTTCCAGATACCGAACGCACTACTCGTTTTTTCCCCTCCCCTCTAGGGCGCCCTCTAGGCACGCAGTCTCGTTATTTGATAGTCCACTTGTAGTTTTCCTTGAATACTGATGAAAAAAGGCAATTTTATTGCATATTACAAAGAGGGCCATGAATAAGTCAAGTTAAATGCAATAACGTATTTATCGATCTGTCAGAAAACCTGTCAGGTTTGACAAAAGTGTGTGTATTCAGTTTTGTGTTGGTTTTTCGTTGGTTTTTGTGTTGTTTCAATTTTCAAATGAATAAAAATTGGATATGATATGTATTTATGTCGAAGCAAAAAGGAATTCAAGGGAAGCAGTGAGAATATACTCAAATCGCTATCCTGACAGAAGATTACTGTCAGACAAAACATTTGCTAGCTTAGCTGAATATTTGGCACAAAATGGATGTTTCAATGAAAAGAAGCGAAAAAGCACTAGCAGTGCTAGGTCAAATGGTATTGGAACGACATAGTTCTCCCAGACAAGGAGCAATAGATTGTGATGTTTCGAAATTGTCAATACAACATATTTTGTCAAGAAACAAATTCCATCCATACAAATCACATCTGGTTCAAGGATTACATCCAGGTGATAATCTTTATGTTTTATTTTTAATAACTATAATCTATTCCCATATTTAGGACTTATAGAAGTTTGTTATAATGAAAAAACATAACTGTCACTATTGCTATGACTTGAACCCTCACTGGCTGCATATGTTGCAGATTTTCTTGTAGATTTAACCAATACAAACTCGACTGAATATGTGGTTTCAATAAGATGGGGCACCTGTGCATAATAATGGAATAGTTACCCAATTATTTAGATGACACTTCTAATGAGAAATGGATTGGAAATAAGGGTCCAATACCACGGACAGATCGAAGTCCAGATATTACTCCACTAGATTTTTTTGTGGATATAAACTAAAGACTTAGTTTATAAGCAATTTCCACGAAATGTAGATGATTCGAAAAATAGTATCACAAATGTTCATCCGTCTATATCGCGAGAGACGCTTTCATCTGTCACGAATCGAGAATTACTCAAAAGACGCAATATATATATTCCACGTGAAGGGATGCAGTTCGAACACTTAGTGAAATGATATTCATGTTATCACTAATTGTTTACGTTCATTATCATGTTGGTCGAGTTATGGTGAAAGTAAAATATTTTTTGGTAATTTGAAACATTTGTTTAAGGTCGTTTTGTCTGCGATTTTACAGAAACGCACAACTAGATGAAACTGTACAGGCAATGCAATTATAACTGATGGAATAATTTTATTGAATTCGTTTTATTGCATTTATTTTGACCTACCCATTGCCCTCTTTATAAAATACAATAAAATTGCCTTTTTCCATCAGTATTCAAGGCAAACTACAAGTGTGCTATATGGCTGAGTTCAGAAGTTGATGCAGAATCCAAAAACAAATTGAAAAATCTGAGTTACCATCCAAAAAATTTGGCGTCGAGGTCGCGACGCCCTAACGGATGACGCCTAGTGCTGAATCTCTGCGTAAATGAAAGAACCCTTTGACATCAAAATCATCTACTTTCACGAAATATGGATATTCTATTTCATTTTCCAGATATTTACCCGCTGAATTTTATATGGGAGACCCTGTATAGGTAACTCAGCAAGCAAAAAAAAATCTTTAATATTAGAAAGAGTGGTTTTTATGACTAGAAAATGAATATTAACACGTAGAGAGACTTTCAAACAGATAGGAAAGTCATCAATTCGAATACTGAATTCAGTGATTTGTTCAAATGACTGAATAAAACAAATAAATTGGAAACAATAAAAAATTATTTTTTTCAAAATTTTCTTTTCAAATGTAATGAAACTTGATTAGTTACCTGCAGAATAATATATTCCATTATATGTCAAAAATATCGCCAATCCCACTGGAACATCTACAAACAGAGACTGACGTGGCCGAGGATTTTTCTAAAAAAATGCACCTTTCTGAATAATGGATTCATTCCTTACACAATCCTTCACTTGCTAATTTCGCAAATGATAAATATTTTTCTGAAATAGCATGTGTCCTGAAATTGTAAAAAAATACCAAAATCAACTCAAGTTTATGAATACTTGATGTTGTTTGTCTACTTTTGCGATCAATAAACCATTCTCAACTGTTTGAATTATAAAAAAGGGCGCTTCCATTTTGATATTCCAGTATTCCAATGCTAAAAATCTGATGAAGTTAACGGATGTTTTTGAATAGAAGAGTCAAGAGTATATCTTCAGTACTTTTGATCAACTAATAACCTATTGTTTTGTTGAAATTCATATTGAATATGAAGAAAATAACTTTTGGCTGATTTCTACTGAGATTTTCATCCGTTATGACCGGTTTCATAAGTTTACTTGAGAATGGTTCAATATACCTAAGCCGGTCGTAACAAATGAAAATCTTAGTAGAAATTTGACAAAAGTTATTTTCCCTATCCTATATTTAATATCTCAAATACTCAGCTACATATTTTCATCCGTTATGACCGGTTTCATAAGTTTACTTGAGAATGGTTCAATAAACCTAAGCCGGTCGTAACAAATGAAAATCTTAGTAGAAATTTGACAAAAGTTATTTTCCCTATCCTATATTTAATATCTCAAATACTCAGCTACAAATTTATTGTTTTACTAATGTCAGAAAAATATTCTTCAATCCAAACACAATTGACCATACGAGACGAAATTGAGTATGGTAATATGTATTATCGAGCTTCAGAAAATGGTCACTATCATGATAGTCACTATCATGATAGTGACATAACGTATAGACATATTGACGTACATATTGACGTACATATTGACAGACGCATATACACACGTGAAGAAGCTATTGTAGAGCGAAAATTGTGTTTTGTGAACATTGTTCTGGAAAAAATTGTGAAAATTTCGTAAAATTTAGGATAATGTGTTCAATATTTGTGTAAAATCACATTGATTTCTGAGTTATAAATTAATGACTCTAATAAAATGTATACTCAATTTTCATCTTATCTACTTCATACAGAGAAAATAATATCATTTTGAATTTTATTATTTTTTTTCAATTCATTTCAGTTTATTATTCAATAAATGCTTACAACGATCTGTTTGTATTATGTCATTTGATATTTGTATCTAGTAGCTTCATAGCTGAATAAACTCATAAACTATCATTATCATTATAAAAAAACAACATGTTGTTTTGTGAAATGGCGATATCAGGCGATACCAAACTACATAATAGTGAACTCGATTCAACACTGTTTGACTTTAAGTGAGAAACAAGAGATCTACCATCTAACCTGAGGGCTAGCCAGACTCGGGGATTCTCCAATAATCCCCTCTGCAGAAGTGAACTATGGGATATCGCTATACAATCACGATATAGTGCTTTCCCATGCGGATTACGTTTGTGAGCGAGTAAAAATGAGAAACATTTTCTCTTCGCTCCACACAAGGAATGCAATTAACTAATAATATTAATTCTTCACATGGAAGACTGACCAGAAAAGATTAAAACAAGGGCTCTTGGAAGTATTTATATTTTGATATATATATATATATATATATATATATATATTAAATTTGTATCCGCTTGGTATATTCCAGCTCCCGTTCCATGTTTGGTCTTCGATCCATCTGTATACCAGGTGTTTTTCCCAAACATGTTTTCGGGATGACTAATGGTCTTCCACTCTTCACGG